ACATGGATGAAGGGCATAACAATTGTTCACATCACTTTAAGAGAGCACAAGGCGAATTTTTAGATGAAGGCTTAATTTTTCTGTAATCCTATATAATAAAGAGCTAATATGCTAATTAGACCAAATAGCAGAACGACTGTCTGGATGATCTTCCAGACAAAGCCGAGGCTGTGAGGGCCGAGCCCCTTGCAGGAATTTCATGCATCGGGTCTCTACTAGTTTGATAATTATAGTTTATCACACATGCAATTCTTTTATAATGTTTGAGTATGATAGGTAAAATGTATTGTTAATTTATGAATCTAAGTTTACTTTAAGGAATTTAGAGACTCATTCCAATTCAGTGACAGTTTCAGCAGAGCAGACTGTAAATTTATATAAATATACACTATATAAGAAATATAATGACTCAAGGTCAATGGCCTGGGTTTGATAATGTACTACAGTTTTGCAACTTCCACCACTGTAGGAACCAAGTGAAGAAATCATCTCTTAGCCCTTAATTTAGTGTAATTTCTAGGATGCAATTTTTTAAAAATGAAGACTGTAGTGACTTAAAATTCTTAATTTCATTTTTGCCAGCCACTTCCAAACCTTTGAGTGGCACAGCAGTATAACAGGCTAGAGAAATGCCAGAAGTCCATCTGTGTTTCCATAAAGCTGATGGATACGTACTCCCTGCAGCATTTAACCTGTTCAACTACACAGACACCTCTGTTTTCCTTATCCATCATCCCGAACCTGAGTTTGCTCTTTCAACACTAATATGACTCAAAATTATAGGAAATATCAGTTAACATAAATTGCAACAAAGAGCATCTCTCTTTGGCTTGAAAATTTGGTAGACCAAATCAGGAAGACACATGCTTTCTTGTGGGAATTTGCTAAAATTGGCACAGGCCCAAATACTCAATTTTTATGATTGCCTTTAAAGTTACCATCTGAGTCAGTATGTGGTGTATAGCAAGCTATAGTTATACTGAATGTTTTCTTCATATAACCCGAAGCAATACCTTCCTACCCAGAAATTGTGAGTGCTTTGCCTCCCAGGTTTGTATCTTTTATACACTTAGCAGAGTCAATATTTTGGGGGGCACCCCAATTCCAACAACACATTTTGTGTTTGTTAAAGTCCTGATTGGCTTCAAATAAAGACAGGTTTGACAACTATGAGATTTTTCTATCCCACTCAATAAGAAACCTATAGAAGCTATTCAAAGACAATGTCTTCTATTTCTTCCAATGGCACATCCCGTACATGTGTCTTTTTTTCTGGTCATAAGATGACCCTGTTTTCTCAGAAATTATATCTACATTTCAGGTAGAAGAAGAAAGGCAAACAACTAAAGGCAAACAGGCTGACTGAGTCTGTTCGATTAAAAAACTTTTCTGGAATCCCTACTGAGTGACTTCTGCTGACATTTCCTGTGCAGAACTGGTTATCATGTTACGTCCACTTTTAAGATAGCCAGGAAAAGTAACGATTTCACATTTTTAACCTGTTTATATGAGGAAGAAAAGGGGAAATTTGGTTGTGAATGGGCTTTTGTGTAGCTAATTTAATAGTGTTTACCTTATTTTTCTTTATTGGATCCAGAATTCAAAGCTATATTTATCCTAAAATTATGCTAAATTGTTTACATTAGCAATTGGGATTATATTTTTTAATAAAACCTTTTCTTTCTGTTTCATTTAGAATATTTAATGCTAGTCTTTCAAATTTTCTTTTTTTAAATTTCTATATTGATTAAGGTATTACATATGTGTCCTTATCCCACCATTACCCCCCAACCCCCCCACTCATGCCCTCACCCCACTGTTGTCTGTGTCCATTGGTTAGGCTTATATGCATGCATACAAGTCCTTTGGTTGAGCTCTCCCCCTTACACCCACCCTCCCCTACCTTCCCTTTGAGGTCTGACGGTCTGATTGATGCTTCTCTGTCTCTGGATCTGTTTCTGTTCATCAGTTTATGTTGTTCATTATAGTCCATAAATGAGTGAGATCATGTGATATTTATCTTTCTCTGACTGGCTTATTTCGCTTAGCATAATGCTCTCCAGTTCCATCCATGCTGTTGCAAATGGTAAAAATTCCTTCTTTTTTACTGCAGCGAATAACACCATAATTTTACACCAGTTTCAACGAAATGAATGTTCTTTTGTTCAGAAATATTTATTAATAAAAGTGACTAACATCTTAATGGAGATAACAAGGCTCTCATATTCAGAGTTTTGGGGAGAAAAAATTTTACTCTACCCTTCTCGATTCTTTTGCTTGTCTAATAATTAAATTGACATGGGACAGGTTATCAGGAAAAAATCAAATTTAATTTTGTGCACATGGCAACCTCACATACCTAAGAGAGTCAGAGACACCACACACATGAGAAATTCAAAGTCAAAAAGGTAAATTGAGGTATACATGAAAATCCTGAGCTAAGGAAGAAGGTAAGTGTCTGGGGCTTCAGGGGAGAAGAGGATCATTTACATGACAATAAGAAGAGCAGATATTCAGTAATTAGATGTTTACCCTACGTGAGATAGTTCATAAAAAGTTATTTCTGGTAATAAACCTATCATGGGCAAGGTCCTCAATTTAAAAACTTTAAAGTATAGATAAAAAGTTTCTCTTGAGGCTGCAGGGTCTTGATTGCCTCCAGCTCACAATAATCCACTTGCCAAAATAGCACACTGTGGCCAGGTCTATTTGAACCCCTTCAAGAGCGCAATGTAAGTCTCGATATAAGTAAGACTTATTGAGTTTTAATATAAAGAACAAAGGAAATGGCATTAGAAGATTCATCTTTTGTCCAGATACCATAAGCTCTTTGAGCATCAGATTCTCCATTTCTAAAACAGGATTATAATATCTATTTCCCAGAAAGTTTGTGAGATTTAATGTCTGTGGAATCAGTTTGTGAAGTCTGAGGCACTATGTATCACAGCCAATAGTTTGAATTAACCCCAAACGAAAGAGAAGTCACTTTTTGCCAAATAGTTATATACATCATGGACTAACACACACACACACACACACACACACACACACACACACATACACACATACACACAACTTTAGATATCATGTCCATGTGAAATTTTTCTTCCCACTTTATTTGAAAAGAAAGCCCAATTTTTTGCAATTTTTACTGACTGCAATTCTCTGAATTCATAATTTTCTGCTTTCGTAGGATCATTAACTGAAGGCAGTTAATTTGAAAAAGTTTGAACTTTTCAGGTGAATGTGTGTACAATGGTGCACTCTGGAGGGCTTCTGTTTCTCTGTCAAGTGTCCTTACCAAAGCACGCAAATATCCCCTTGTGATGGACTACCCTTAAAGAAAATAACAGGAATGATCGAAAAGCAACTCAGATGACTCATATCACTAAAAAATAAAAATAAAATAAAATAAAAATAAAAAGAAACCCACCACAGCTTAGAAACAATGACTCTGTTGTGTTATCTAAAAAACTGACAACATTATCAACTTTGCAAAATGTGTTTTCATTTCTTTCATTTCAGTTCTGTGAGAACATATGAATCTTGAGGATACTGGCATTAAAAAGCACACACTTTTAAAATAACCTGAAAAGAGATAAAGGAAAATGAAAACAGCTCAGTTAGATTTATGTAGGATATAAAGGTAATAGAATAGATTTGATCTCCTTCTAAGCAATAAGTAGAGATCCTAACAAATTTAACTTCCAAATTCAGAAATTTAAAAAATATGTATTATTATTTTTTGTGTAAGAATCATATTTATAATCTGCAGATCTTACATTTTTTCTTGATTTATTAGCACTCTGAATTTGGGGGATAATTTAATAAAGTATTGATGAATTAAGGATATGCCATTCTAAAATATGCTGCTTTAGATTTTTAACTGGTAGGAGACTGGCTTCGGAGACTCTTCTTGGAGACACACTTCAGGGACTCACTCAAAGGAGCAGGCCCCAGAAACCACTTATGACTTGGGTGGTGCTTGGATTTTGACCAGAGTCCACATCTGATCTTCACTTGGGGAACCTGATGTTAAATACAGGGAAGGTGACAGGAAGACTAGACGTCAGCTGCCCACTGGAACTCTTCTTGGAAGTTCCTACTGACTTCCACAGAGAGGGAGGCCTGAGCAGACCTCAGCTTCTCACTTCTCCTCACTCCTGGTGGATCACAATGACTGAAGGGAGTCTCTTCTGATGGTCACCTTCACTGCACCATGGCCTTTGCAGCTTCCCTGGCCAAGTTCCAAGCAGAGGCCAGCCGTCCCATCTGCCTGGATTACCTGAGAAACCCAGTGACCATTGCCTGTGGGCACAACTTCTGTTCCTCCTGCATCCACCAGCGCTGGGAAGGTCTACAGGGCTAAGCTAGGGCAAGATTTTACTTTTCATTTTAGTTTGCTCCTCAGCCAAATGGGATTAAAGGGTGTTGAGGTATTCAAGGGAGGATTATAAAGGTGCAGATTAGATTATGCGTGTTAAAAAGGTTATCCCTCCTAGCTTTCAGGAATAAGAGGAGATCCCATCAACCAGACTTCTAAAGATCCTCCTATTACCACCCTTGCCCACAAGTTCCACCTCCAGGGAGGAGCTTTGGTGGGTGAGGTCTTAAAGAGATTCACCCTCCTAGTGGTATATATAGGTCAGGCTCACATTACTTAGCATTTAACGGGTAGGAGACTGGCTTCAGAAACTCTTCTTGGAGACACACTTCAGGGACTCACTCAAAGGAGCAGGCTCCAGAAACCACATATGACTTGAATTGTGCTTGGTTTTGACCAGGAGCACTCTACATCCCTTGTGCAAAGTGGTGTTAAATACAGGAGAGGGCGACAAGAAGACTGGACTACAGCTGGTGGCTGGAACTCTTCTTGGAAACTCCTAGGGGCTTCCACAGGGAGCAAGGCCTGAGCAGACCTCAGCTTCTCACTTTTCTTCGCTCCTGGAGGATCACACTGACTGAAGAGACTGTCTGGGAACAGATACCCTCTCTGCACCATGGCCTTTGCAGCTGCCCTGGCCAAGCTCCAGGAGGAGGCCAGCTGTTCCATCTGCCTGGATTACCTGGGAGACCCATTGACCACTGAGTGTGGACACAACTTCTGTTCCTCCTGCATCTACCAGCGCTGGGACCTTCTACAGGGCACCTTTCCCTGTCCTGTCTGCCTCCACCACTGCCCTGACAGGAGCTTGAAGAGGAACACCCAATTATGTCACATGACTGAGATTGTTCAGCAGATTCCACGCATAAGGGGAAAGAGTAAAAGGCAAGAGGAACCCCTGTGTAAGAAGCACTGTGAGGGTCTGGCCCTGTTTTGTGAGAAGGACCTGCAGCTTTTGTGTGCCCAGTGCAGTGTCTCCTCTGATCATGGGGATCACCCCCTGATGCCCGTTGAAGAAGCTGCAGCTACTCACAGGAGGAAGCTCAAGAGCTATATCGAGTCCTTTAGCGAGCAGATTAAAGATACTGAAAATCGGTCAGAAATGCAAGTGTCAAAATGTTTTGAAGTGAGAGAGAGGATAGAAAATGAAAAGGATGAATTGGACTCTGAAGTTAAACAACTTAAAAATTTTTTGGAAAAGGAACAGAGTGCAATGCTTATCAGTTCGCTAAATGAAACAACAGATGTTGAAGAAAAATTAATGGATGAGAAAAACCAAATATCAAACTACAGCACCGTATTAAACAGTCTGCTTGGAGATATTATCAGTAAGTGTTTGCAGACAGACATGGATTTACTCACTGGTATTGAAAGTATCCACATCAGGTATGATAACCTAGAGCCCCCGGCCACCTTTTTATATGAATTAAAGGAGGAGAGTTGCTCTCTCCCCCCACATTATTTGGGCCTGCATAAAATGATCCACACATTTCAGGTAGATTTGACACTGGATCCTGAAACAGCCCATCCATGTCTCATTATCTCAAGAGATAGAAAAAGTGTGACCTATAGGACAGCATTTGGTCTTCATAATCTTCACGGACGCACTTCTTACCCAGCTGTCCTGAGTTCTGAGGGATTTGATGCTGGCAGGCATTTTTGGCAGGTAGAAGTGAGAGGCACAGGGGCATGGTCCTTAGGCGTGTGTAAGGAATCTTTCCCCAGGAATCCTCCTATGCCACCATTCCCAAGAAATGGCTGCTGGCAGTTTCATCTCTGGGCAAATACATCTGTCACATGGGATTCAGGCAACTGGGAACGGATAGGCATTTTTCTGGACTATGAGTTGGGAGAAGTTTCATTTTATAATTTGAGAAATAGATCACATTTGCATACTTTCAGTGAAAGGTTTACAGAAAAACTGATTCCCTATTTCTGCATAGGACTTTTTACAAAATCACTTGAAATGCATGTAGTCAAAGATGAAAGATGAACCACCTTGCAATCTGTTTGATGCGTTCTACTCTTCCTGTTAATAGAGAGTGCTTGTAATAAAAGGCCCAAGTACATTTCAAAAAAATAATAAAAATAAAAATAAAAAAAATAAAATATGCTGCTTTAGTATATTGGTTATTTTGAGCTGAGGGTACTTAAAAAACAGCAAATGCAAAGAGAGACTTTCTCTGAACTCCCCTCATTTACCTGAAGACCAATTCTCCAAAAGGAAATCAATTATCATAAATCCTTTCCCCAGAAGTTTCATCAACAGGGTAGATTGATTTTTATCACAGGAGAGGAGACTAGAAGTTGACACCACATCCAGACCAACTTTGTAACAAACTATTTTATCAACCATCTATTCTTCTAAGAGCCCATTCATCTTCCCTAAAAATCATTTACCTTTCCCTAAGTGACCTACATATCCCCTTCCCTTCCTCTATTGAGATGACATATAATTTTTCAAACATTACTTCTTTCAGAGGGTATTTACTTTTTTTCCTGTAATGCCCCGTGCATGCAATATTAAAATTTAATAAATTTGTTTACATTTTCTCCTGTTGATCTCTCTGTTGTCAATTTATTTCAAGGAAGCCGCTATAGAATCTATAAAACTCTCCTTTCTACACACATGTATAAAACCAAATGATTTTTGCAAGTGTTTTTGTCTCTCAAAAATGAGTTTTTTTGAAGTTATTCCATTATAATTGAAATAATTATACTGCAGTTTCTCTTTGGTTACTATTGGTAACATCTATTGACTTTGCTATGAATTTACATTTGTAGAAGTATAATGCTTGTTTGCTGGCCTATTAGGCAATAGTAATCTATAAACACCAAGTGACAAGGAGGGACCGAGTTTAAAGAGTCTCCATTTGTCTTATGTTGTGACTCAGTCTGTTGTTTGCTACCAAAAACATCTAATGGAAATGGTACTACTTTCATTTTATGACTGTTCTTATGGGGCTGGCAAACAAGTAAAATGATGGGGGCAAGCTAAACAACAAAATCAAATACAGTTATTGAAATATGACATAGGGACCTAGCTCTGTCGCTGTTAATGCCTGTTATTTCTGCTTAAGCTGCTGATGAGATACATGCCCAGAAAATCATTTTCAGTTTGCGGTAAATTATCCAGACCCCCTCTGCTACTCGTGGTATTGATCGAGTGTGTGCCATTCCTTTCAATTATTCTGTAGCCTGTGCAACATGTTACAGACCTAATAGATATTTTATTGACAAACTGTCATTTTGGTTACAACAAGCTATGTGTCATGCACACATTTATTAATAAATATTGAGATCATTATAATATCATACTGCTAACACCTCTGAACCAAATCAGCCTTATAACAATCTGTAAGGATATTATATTTTTCCTTGCTTCCAATAATATACAAATGAGGAATTTATTCGGCAATTTCAAAAGTACCCTAAAAACACATTTTGAAATGTCATTGTCATAAGTTAAGACCTCTGCTTAATGTCATGAGCAATTATTAATACAGTATTTATGAATAAATATAGCTATAAGAAAATATATACTATTTCCAGGATGATACATCTCAGATTTCTTTAAAAACATAGTAATTTGTAGACTATTCTCTATTTTCCAAAGATGAAAAGTTAAATTATTTAATTTAAATTATAAATACATTTAAAATTTTTTGGTGGCTACAGGTAAAAAGCGATAATAAATCCTCAGTTAACATCCTAGGAAGGGGAATATACTATTTAACGTTAACATTTGTCCATCTTGAAAATGAATAGTTTTAGAGTAGACTAATTAATTTATCTCTTTTTTACCATGATGTCACAATTTCTATAAACCAAATATAGATAAGTACATCTCTATGAGAAACAACAAAAAGGTCTCCATTTAATAATACTTTAATTTTAAGTCTCAACTGTGGTTAGTAGTTTTTTAACCAGCCAATATTTTAAAAAAATATTTACTAAGCGTCAAGTATTGTGACCATTATTGGAGATATGCACAATGATTTCTGTTTTAATATAAAAAGAACACTAATTTCCATATATTAATTCTACAACTTAATTCTTCACAAAACTCACTGTTGTGCTAGTTTTCCCTTTACTTTTTGGAAGTTTTCAGATATCTAATTATTATAAGAGTTAGAGCAATCTCGTGGCACCCACAGTCTAGGAGACTAAGTTGGGTAACCATACAAACACCAACAATAGAAATATACAAAATATACTCGACGAGCCCGTAAGGAAGGTGCCTTGGTGTGCTTGAGGGGATCTAGGGAGGCATCCTGGAGGATAAATCGTGTTTCTTTTTGTTTTGGTTGTGGTAGAAAGATTAATGCCACACAAAAGTGCCCATCCTAATCGTTGACATCTGTAAATATAATTACAAAGTAAAGCAAACTTTGTGTACAAGATTAAGGATTTTGAAATGGGAAGAGAGAGATCTGGCACATAGTTGATCTAAAAGCCATATATTTTAATTTCTTTTATATTTTTTAAATTCTTTATTGTTTAAAGTATTGCATATGTCTCCTTTTCTCCCTATTGATCTCTCCTCAGCCACTCCCACCTCCCAGCACATGTCCTCATCCTCCTAGTGCCTGTGTCCATTGGTTATGCTTATATGCATGCATATAAGACCTTTGGTCGATCTCTTACATTGTACCCTATCCCCAACCTCCCACCTTCCCTCTGAGGTTTGATAGTCTGTTTCGTGCTTCGCTGTCTCTGGATCTATTTTTGTTCATCAGTTTATGTTGTTGATTATATTCCACAAATGAGTGAGATCATGTGATATTTTTCTTTCTCTGACTGGCTTATTTCGCTTAGCATAATGCTTTCCAGGTGCATCCATGCTGTTGCAAATGTTAAGAGTTCTTTCTTTTTTACAGCAGAATAGTATTCCATTGTGTAGATGTACCACTGTTTTCTAATCCACTTATCTGCTGATGGGCACTTAGGCTGTTTCCAAATCTTAGCTATTGTAAATTGTGCTGCCATGAACATAGGGGTGCATAAATCCTTTCTGATGGTGTTTCTGATTTCTTGGGATATATTCCTAAAAGTGGGATTACTGGGTCAAATGGGAGTTCCATTTCTAATTTTTTGAGGAAACTCCATACTGTCTTCCACAGTGGCTGCACCATCTGCATTCCCACCAGCAGTGCACGAGGGTTCCTTTTTCTCCACATTCTCGCCAGCACTTGTCATTTGTCGATTTGTTGATGACAGCCATTCTGACAGGTGTTAAATGGTATCTCGTTGTTTTGATTTGCATCTCTCAGATGATTAGTGACTTTGAGCATGTTTTCATATGTCTCTTGGCATTTTGTATGTCCACTTTCAAAAAGTGTCTATTTAAGTCCTTTGCCCATTTTTTTATTAGATTGTTTATCTTCCTTTTATTAAGATGTATGAGTTCCTTATAAATATTGGAGATTAGACCCTTATCGGATATAACATTGGCAAATATGTTCTCCCATGCAGTGGGCTTTCTTGTTGTTTTGTGGATGGTTTCTTTTGCTGTGCAGAAGCTTTTTATTTTGATGTAGTCCCATTTGTTTATTTTTTCCTTAGTTTCCAATGCCCTAGGAGCTGTATCAGTAAAGATAGCACTGCGACATATGTCTGGTATTTTATATTTGGTGCCTGTGGATTCTTCTAAGATATTTATGGTTTCCCGTCTTAAGTCCAAAATGAGTTTATTTTTGTGTATGGTGAAAGTTGGTGGTCTAGTTTCATATTTTTTTTGCATTAATCTGTACAATTTTCCCAACACCATTTATTGAAAAGACTGTCTTGAATCTGTTGTGTGGTCTTGCCTCCTTTGTCAAGTATTAATTGAGCATAATGGCTTGGGTCAATTTCTGGGTTCTCTATTCTGTTCCATTGGTCTATATGTCTGTTCTTGTGCTAGTACCAGGCAGTTTTGAGAACAGTGTAAATCTATTTGCTGAGTAGTAGTGAACAGAAAAAAATCCAGTTTTTCTTGGAGAAAACTGAGTAACTTAGGCTAAGTAGTGGAGCAGTGACAGCAGATTATTTTCACTGATAATTTACATGAAATGTTTCACTACTGTCAAGAAATGAAAGTGAATGACCCTCTTTTAACACTTCACAAAATGTTCAATTACATGTAGGTGGAAATGGAATTTATTTAGTTTTCCCCTTCTTTGAATAGTATTTAATAAATTAAGCCAGCCAGCATAACTGTGTTTGACATCAGCTGCAGAGCATAACATATTGCTAAAATTTTTTTATAGACAAGACATGAAGAGAAGATGTTGAAATATATAAAAAAATTTATGCGAATTATGATACTAGTGAGGATGGAATGACACTTCACAAAGAAATAAAAATTTGAAACAGAGCACTAATCTGAATTTTTAAACATTATGCTTCTACTGACTTGAATTTTAGATTTTCAGGGTTTATGAGAAAGCAATGAATAAGAAAATTAGGCCTATCAGACGAGTTTAAGTACAAAGATTTTTAAAAAGTTACCCAAGAGAGAACTTTATTTTCGTCCTGTCTCTAGGGAGCACGGAATAAGACAAAGGAAAATGAGTCACACTGTCACAAAATGAATTCAGTCATACAAATAAGTCTGGAGAAGCTAGGAATATTTCCAAAGAAACCTGAAACACTGATTCAGAAGAATATATACACCCCTATGTTCATTTCAGTGTTATTAAAATAGCCAAGATTTGGAAGCAGCTAAGTGTCCAACAGTAGATGAGTTGACAGAAAAGCTGTGGTACATTTCCCTGATGGAATACCATTCAGCCATAAAAAAGAGGGATCTCTTACCCTTTGTGATAGCATGGATAGACCTGGAGAGCATTATGCTAAGGACCAGTCAGAGAAAGACAAGTACCATATGATTTTACTTATATGTGGGATGTAAATGAACAAAATAAACAAACAAAATAAAAACAGACTCATAGATACAGAAAACAGACGGAGAGCAGTTAGAGGGGAGAGGAATTGGAGGGCAGAGTAAAA